GGCAATCCACTGCCCCATGCCCCGCAGCAATAGGATGCCTCCCAAGGTCCTGCTTGGGGGATGCTCACAGACCCCCTCAGCCCACATCACCGTGGACCCCCCAGCAGGCTTATCCATCTCAGATTGCATAGGGCATGGTTGCGCCGAGGAAAGAAGAGGGGAGCAGCACCAACTCTCAGTCCCAAAAGCAGAAAGAGGTTTGATCCCTGCAAATGGCAAGCTAGCCCATAGTTCTCACCCAGCCCTGGACTCCCAGATAAGCTGCCAGCCTCGGTAGATAGCAGGAGCACTGGATGGGTGGAGAACACGATAGCCCCACAGTAAACTTGTGGTTTCAATGAGGCGGACAGGGAGAGGCAGCGCCTGCCTGTGCCAGGGTGAGGGGAACGCCTGCCTCCCTGCCTACGAGGGCAGAGGGAGGGATCTGTGCCCTTTTGTCCCTCAAGAAAGCCAAGGTCTGGGCTGGAAGTGCCTTACCTGCCCAGTAAGCATTTCCTGAGACCCATGGGCATGGGTGAAGGGAAAGCATGCATTGCCAGGGTCCTCTCCACCAGTGCCCAGGGGCATGTGGGGACCCTGGTCCTGCAGAGCCTGAGCCGCTGGTCCTTGTGGCACACATGTCACAGCCATGTGTGGCACACATGTCACAGCCACCTCCACCTCCACCACTGCCCCAGGTGTCTGGTGCCACAATACGAGGAGCGTGTGATCCCACTACCTGGGCTTAGGGCCCCTGGTCACGCAAAACCATGGCTGTGTCTTGCTGATCCTGTGCAGGATGCTGGGATAAGCCCCAAAGGGGAAGGATATGGAGAAGAAGCTACTGGAGAGGGAGGAGACCCTGGTCAAAGGACCAGCTGTGGACCTCCATGATGGAGGGCAGCCTCCCTGTCCTCCTTTGAGTCGTCTTACATTGTCCACCAGCCAGCAAGAAGCAGTCCCAGTGACCATTTTTCTACTGGCACTGCAAAACTGTTGGCTTTCTAGCAGGGCTGTTCTGTTGCTGGTCATCCTGGCACCACACAGTCCCAGCACAGAGGGTTGGGGACTTTGCTGGCTTGGGGGACGTGGGAGGCCAGTCTGGAGACAGCAAACACAAGACATCAAGGTGTTAAGCCGTGTCTGGAGCCACAGGTGGTTAAACACTGTGGCTGGAGCAGCAAGTCTGGCAAGGGGAAGCAAAGGAGGGAGCTGGGAATTGCTGTAACCCCAGCCCAGGGTGGATGGAGGCAGGCTGCATTAGAAAGGATTAGCTCCATGCTGTGCAGGTGTGACCCAGCCTGCACAATGTCTCAGCAGCACAGACCTAAAGACTGTATCAGCATAGAGGTTATCAAGACCTAAACACTCATGAGCAAACCACCTCTACCCTCAGCTTTGTCAAGAAGTAAAAGCTAGGCATGAGAAGGAAGAAGCAGGGACAACCACAAAGAGTGGAGCAGGGGGACACAAGGGGTCAAAGCAGAACATCAACAGCCATGGGTGAATCCAAGGAGTAGGGCAGGGATACAAACGTGGGTGGCACGGCCACCCCCTGCAGTGTCCACAAGAGCCCAGCCAGCCTGCCCGATGCTCTACACAATGCGGTGGCTGTTTGCAGAAGGCAGCCAGCAGCCCTCGAGGCCATGGCACTGTAAATGTGCCACTCACCAGAGCAGAGCCTGGTGACTCCCTGGAGCAGGCACTGGAGAGCAGGGCACTGGTGGGAAGGTCCACTGTGGGATCGCCGTCCCCGGCGCACCCCCCTGGGGAGGGGCCCCCAGCCGCAGGCACACAAGCCAGGTTCTGAGTGTTTGCTTTCCATTCTCCCAGTCTGACGATAACCACCCGCTCCCCAGCCAAGGCGCCGGCTCGCCATGCTGAAATTCAGAAGGTATTTGATCACGTAAGTGGCTTTTTTATTTATTTGTTTAAGTAAAATACCTTTTCCTTAAGTAAAATTCTATTTCCATGCTACCCAGAGGTCATGTCCTTGCAGGTCCCTCTCGGTTGAGAAATGGTGATGGGAATGGGCAGAGGAGCACTTCTGCTCCTCAGAAATGCAGAGAAGCCTGGGTTGATGGGGCTCTCTCTTTCAGTGAAGCTCCAAAGGCAGCACTGCTCCCCTGAGCGCTAGGCAGGAAAACACCATCTTTTGTAAGGCCTGATACCGCAAAGGAAGAATAGCAAAGACCTGGGCAGGGCAAGAAGGATGCTGATCCCTCTTGCCTCATCCCAGACGAGGGCTCACCACTCTCAGCTCTGCACGGTCACCTGCGGAGTAGACATGGAGCAGAAATGTCTCTCTGCAAGGCTTTTGCATGGCCAACCCAACGAATGCATCTAGGGCGAGGTGCGCTCTTCCACAGCCTCTATTTCTGAGAGGATGGATGAGGAGCAGGGAAGGGCAAAGCTTGGCTTTGCAGCAGTGCCCTTTTGCTGGGGGAAAGCATTTTGGGGCAGGAGAGCCTTTCCATACTTACCTGCAGTGTCTGGGGCGTCGCACACCTTGCTGCTGTACACCAAGCTGCGGCACTAAGGGGCTTGGGGTCTCTCCTAACCCAGCTGTTCCAAGGGTAGGTTGGGCACTGACAGAGGCAGGCAGTGCCTCACTGCACTACCTTCTCTTCTCCTGAGCATCCTGAAGACCGCTGTCCCTGTTTTCTCATTTATTGCCATGCAAATGAAGAAAATGGCTCCAATTGCTGGTCAGAGGAAGCAGGCCATCGCCGGTGTACATTAATCATGTACATTAATTCCTGTGCAGCATCACTCGCTGCCTGGAGCGTATCTAGTCACAGCAAGTCAATAAAGTAATTTTCTGCCACCTATCTGCCTGGTGAAGTCAGCCTCGGCACCTCCTGCAGCACCCGGCAGTCGGCTGAGACCCTGCACAGCTCAGCAAATGCCAGCTGACCACAAGACCCATCCCGACCGGTGCATTTATTTTCCTGTTGGACAGGGAAGGGGCACAGGTCAGAGGGAAGAAGGTCATCCTCTCTGCTTTCCCCCTCCCCAAAATGGAGGGAAAATCTGCAGCACTGCTGCAATCAAGCAGCGCCTGCTTCCAAGCAGCAGCCCAGGCACCCCCTCCCCTGCCAGGAGCAGGCAGCGAGACACAGCTGGGGGCATCACCCCTCGCAAATAAATGACCAACAGAGTGGGTTTGGATGAAATCCATTGAGCCAGCTTGGGAGGATTCAGTTGCTGTGGCTCTGCTGCTGAGCCCGTGTGGCCAAAGGCATTGTCGGGGTGCTGCATCCACCTTTGCACCCCGTTTTGTCACTTTTGCAGGTGACAGCACACAGGCTCTGATCCGCGGGGTGTCTTCAGCTATAGCCTGCCCGCAGCTGGAGGCATTTCCAAAGACTCTGCAGGTTTCTTTCACAGCCAGACCTGCTCTACAGGGCAGCGTTGACTCCCGCCAGCTCCAAGTTAGTCTTGGACATCTTCCCAGTGCTTTGATCTCAAGTATTTAACTCTGCCCCAAGGCACCCACACCCATGATCTCATCCTGACACGTTAAACTTAGGAGTTATCCATGGAAAGCTGTTGAGCCTTTTGAAGGCTCCTTGTCCAGCCACAAATGATCCAGCCGCTCCAGCCTCCAAGGCAAAGGCTTCTCATGCAACACGTGCCATTTTATCCTGGTTTTGCTGCCTTCAGTGCAACTTCTTGGCATCTCCAGTGCAAATTCCAGTGCTGTCACAGCTTTCCCTTTCTCAGTGCACCCTCCTTGATGCGGCGGAAGGGCTCTGGCTTCATCATAGCCCGATCAGACCCAAGCAGCCAGCAATGTGTGCGTGTTCTCAACTGCTTGTTCAACTAACACAACAGCCATCTCAAAAGAGGCAGCAGGCTAGCAGCAAAAAGACCTGGATCCTTCACAGATTCTCTACAGGTTAAAGTTTAGTACTGACCAGGGGCCTCAGTGGAAGCAAGTCTAGAATTAGATCTACACAAAATACAGCCACCGGAGTAGTAGAGGGTGCTGCTTACCTCAGTGCTGCTTGCTGGGGAAGCTTTGCATCATTCTGCCTTCGCTGCTGGGTGCTCATGCAGATCTCCCCAAAAAGAGCATTTGGGTCTATCGCTAAACATCACTGTTTGTTAGCTCTTCATTCCCTTCCTGACACCTTTCTTAGGCTGGCCAGGCAGGCAAACTTACCATCAGCTGTGCCTTGAGGGATGGGAGAGGTGGATCAAGTCTCCAAGACTTGTCCAACAGCATCACTTCATCCTGGAACAACTCCTCCTTCATTGCCTTCTCTTTCTTCAGTCTCTCTGCCATCAGTCATCTTCCACGCAGGGGTATTTCAGCAAGCAAGCCTTGCCTTGCAGGAGCTCCACAGCAGCCCCGAGTCTCTGCTTCAACTGTCTCCCTTTAATGGGTCTTGGCATTTTAAGCACCGTTTAAACATTCTGGCATTTTTCTGATCCATTTCTTTTCATACCCATTTATCTCTGACAGCACAAAGCTCTCCTTACGCTGCTTGCATGGCATTTTCACCAGCCACCTGCCTCTCATCCGAGCTTTGCCATCTGCTCCTCAAGCAGAAAATGAGCATGGATACCTCCAGATTGCCATCAGGGTTTGGGGATGCTGTGCTGCTGATGAGGGGCTTGTTCACCATGCTAGTAACTGCCTGCCTTTTGGATCCTAAGGCCTCCCAGCCTTTGCAGTCCCAAGTACTTTAGACACTAAAAATCTCCCAGGAGGAGCTGAGTGTTTCAACACAGTAAGTGAATTATTGAGAGCAGGGCAGAACTGTACCTGAGCACCTGAAGTGATGCGAAGCCACTGGAAGTAGTTCTGTAGCAAGCAAACTGCAGTTAGTTGTAATGGTAGTTCTGGAGCAAATCCACTTTTTCAGTAGCAAACCTGAATCCCTGACCAGTACCAATGGGATGCACGTGGCCACTTTGGGCAGCCCACATCTGTGTCATCGTTAGCTCATCGAGCTGGTAACTCTCCCACATGTCACAGGGCTGCCCGGAGTAGGAGATAAAGCACCACGGAGATGGAGAATCTCTGGGGCAAGTGGGTCTGTGTGGCCCCAGGCCCACTCTCTTGGTCCAAAACAGACTACTGAAGGAAGCAGGCAATGTCAACAAACACAGATCAGCTGTCAGAACGTGGCTCCCAAGCAGGCTCTGCCCAAACCCCTGCTTTCATTAATTCCTCCCGTTTAGATCCCTCCATTTCACTCTCAGTGAAGCAGCCTGTGCCTGCTCCTGAGAGGGGGAGAGCAGGCATCCAGGGCTTGCAGGCTGGACTCCCACCCAAGGAGGAGCCCACAACAGAGGATTTAACCGTATTCTCATCTCCCCTTAAGGCAATGATAGGTTGCCTGAGTAGAAACCAGCAGAAATGAAATACAAACTAATCCTTTTCTCCAGGAAGCTAAGTCCACTGACTGCTCCTTTTAAGACTAAGATTGACTGCGCTCAAGCTCCACCAGGGTTTGCAGCAAGCCCTGCAAACAGTCAAAGTCTCATGGCAATGTTTTCCATGGCCCACACGCAACCCAAAACCCCATAGCATAGTGCTGATGACTTGAAGCAATCATGCTGCCACTGGAGACTCAGATAAAACCAGATTAAAACCCAGGTCACACACTGGAATCATGGAATCATTTGGGTTGGAAAACCCTTTAAGCTCATCAAGCCCAACCGTTCCCTTAACCCTGCCATGGCACCACTAAACCCTGGCCCTGAGCACTAAGAGGCACCGTGGGGGCCCCCGTGGTAGCATCACATCTGCAGCCACAGGTGGAGCCTGCACAGGTGGCAATCATCTCCAACAGCAGGCATCAAGAGAAAGGGAAAACAAAATTTTGTCATCTTTGTTTATAAAGAGAGGGTCCCGATATTTCGGGGTGAGGCAGGGCAGAGCAAACACAAGGAGTGCCTGGTCCTGCTGCCGAAGGGGGAGCTCAGGCCGGGCCAGGAAG